GCTTTAAGACACGTAAACGTAGCAAAAGATACGTGTTTTAAAACGAAAGCGTAGTTGTGTTGATGTCGCCTTAATCTCCTCACCCTGTTTAACGCTTTCAGCCTCTTCGGTCCATCCCCGCTGAGAAGATCATGAAGAAGCCGATCCCCGAGGAGCACCTGGTCCTGAAGAACACGTTTGAGGGGCTCATCCAGAAGTGCTTGGCTGTAGCTACCGACCCCGTGAGTCCGTCTGACGCGGGAATAACAACTCGATCTATCTCGTCTTAACAAAGTGATTCATTACATGTGTGATTGTTCTCCGTTTCATCGTTTTACAGCAAACTAAGAGGAAGCTCGACGACGCCAACAAACGTCTGGAGGCGCTCTACGACAAACTCAGAGAGCAGAAGGTGAGCGACGCGCGTGGACGATATTAAAGAGTCTAGATTTATAAAACCAAAATGGATTCATGGGCCTCATAGAAACAGAGTTACTGAAGAGAACAAGACGCATTCAACAATTTTTATATATATATATATATATATATTTCGTAAAGTGTATATAATATATAGTGTGATTCAGAGTTTAATTCTTTTTTAGACATCAACTAAATTTAAATATGGAGCCACAGATTGCTCGAAGATGAAGTCAATGTGGTGTCTGTTCAGTTTTATATCACAGTTTTAACCACAACATGTAAAATACCACAGGAATATTTAAACAAGCTCACTACAGTTTGTAACAGATATTTTGACGGTAGCCATGAAGGAAATCAGACGGTGGAAATGCTGAAAAATGCAGAAAACCGAACGTTTCAGACTTTCCTGAAATCTAACCGATCGTCTGAGAGACGAATAATCCGCACGACAACGACAACCAATCCGGCAGAAATCCAGATTAGGGAGATTTATTTAAATCTGACTTCATGTCCGCCCAGTTTGAGGTTTTGGCGAATCCGTTTTGGACTCGTACGAGCACACGTCAAAGAAAAGCAAAATAATAAAACCAAGATGTTGCTGTATGAGGCCCAGAGTTGCACTTTCTTCTGAATAACTGTCGCTATAAACCGCAGGATGCTTCCCACCAACACTTCCCTCTGTTCTTCTCTGCAGCTCTCTCCGGCCATTGTAGGAGGACTTCATAACATAGCCCGGAGTATAGAGGCCCGATCCTACGCGGAGGGCCTCAGCATCCACACCCACATAGTCAGCAACAGCAACTTCAGCGAGACGTCGGCGTTCATGCCCGTCCTCAAGGTGGTGCTGACGCAAGCCAACAAACTCGGAGTGTGATGTCGAGTCTTTGACCGGCGGAGAGTCGCGCTCGCTTCGCGGGGAGCTTTTTGAGGAAGAATTCTGAGATGTATGAAAATCCTGTTGAATTCTTCTTTGTGCCATTCACGTTTTCTGAAACAACTCAAACACAAGCCAGGCGATCAGTCATGGTGGTGAAAGGGACTTCTGAGCGCCGCGCAAACTGCAAACCGCTCGCATACAATGAAGGGCTAGAGACTAGTTTTATCAAAGCGCCGCCTTCATCTACCAACATGCTAACCAGCTACGCTAACCATTCGTTTTTATTTTCAAACTTAGCCACGTAGAGGATTGTGCAATAATTGTGTTGAAGCATAATCAAAGTAAAAGCAGGCAAAATATAAGGAAATGCACAGCGTCGGCATATTTAACACGGAGATAAATATAAATAAATATGGAATTTATAGACCAACTTAAATAGGAAAAGCAACAGGAGATTCAGGAATCAAAGGGCATTTCTATTTACTTGTGTTGAGACGATCAAAATGTATAAAAGAATATCGCTCATCTCAATTCATTCGGCATTGACAGCGGACTGCTGATGCAGTCATTTAAGAAATATTAGCTTGTTCATCTTCATAGTCTTTTAACATTTGTGCACTACAGTAATGCTCAGCTACCTTTATAATCCATGAATACATAGAACTTTCTCTCTAAAAGTACAAAATCATGCTTTATTTTTACATATAAATGCACCGTTGTCTGCACGCATTTTGCAACAAACCTGCAAATGACGCAGTTTAGAGAAGACGGAGACGGAAAGTATTATGAATTTTAAAAAACATGGCATTATTTTGAGTTAGAACCAGTAGCCTGATGCTTTTCTTAAGTACCTAATAAGACTTTTGTTAGTACTTTCATCCCCTCTTTCTGCTTTTACCGGCTTACTTTCACCACCGGTGTCGCTACGTAGAACACATTGGACCAAGATATTTTCAGAGTGTGGGATCTGTCAATGCAAAGCAATGCAATCCCATTTGTTTAAAACGTGATGTCTTATTTCAGTTTTCAGTGTAATCATGAGGCTCAGCAAAGTGCAATGGACTTTTAAAAAAAAAAAGAAGACTTTTAGTGCTTTTATGGAATTTTAAAGTTTGCATGCTTAAACAAACGCCAACAGTCGTCTTTTGACGGCTCTGTAGGTAAATTATCTAATTAATCAGACCTCAGAAGGAAACAGGAATTAGACTTGTACTTGATTTTCATTCCAACTATGATGAGGGCTGTAGTTTATGTTGTTAATAAAAGGAAAACAAGTCTTTGTTTAAGATTGACTACATGCAATATTTTCAATAAATAGTATTTATTTACAACATGATGTTGCAGCGTTTTGATTTAATTTGCTTTCTTTTACATTAAAATATGTATGTGCATGACACAAAACACCAGTGATCTACACATTAATGCATTAACAGTCCAGTAATATATGATTCTGAAATTCTGTACAATGAGTACTTTTACTTTTGGTACGTAAAGTGTATTTTGAGGCTTATATACTTTTGTAAGTGATATTTTGAATGCAAGACTTTTACTTGTAACAGAGTAATTTCACACTGTAGTGCTACTACTTTTACTTAAATAATAAATAAAAAATCCACCCCTGCATCATCACATTAGTGTACTTTCTTTATTTACAATCCAGCGCTTTTATTTTGAAAGGCAGATGTCCAACCCGGAAAACCTGTGTTACCAGAATTAAAGTCATCTTTTATCTGCTGAATGAAACAACGATATCGTTGCACCTTTAGCAACTGTTACTGACATTTATTACCGACTAGTATTACAGATTATGTATATATTTATGTACAGTATTTACAACACAGGTAACGAAAACCCGGAGCGGTACCATCGGTGAGAGATTAGCCTCAGGGCGGACAGGTAAAGCCCTTTTATCGACACTTTACGACAGTTATTATATGTTTACGAACCAACAAGAATAACTAGTTTCCTGTGTTCAGCTGCTCACCTCCCTGTCTTAAGTTTCACTTTGATGCTGTTTGTTAAATCCGTAGTAAAAACAGTTACACAACCTCTTCTTCTGTGGTGTTTAAACACCACAGAAGAGGTTGTGTAACTGCAACTGTGTTTAAACACCACAGAAGAAGAGCGTAACAACTTCTATAGGTTTTCGTATGTATTTAACGTCTTGTCTCCTTTAAAGGAGACCAAATGTTAAATGCATATTAAAAACTCTACAGAGGTTTTCCAGTTCTTCTTCTGTGGTGTTTAATAAAGGAGACCAAATGTTAAATGCATATTAAAAACTCTACAGAGGTTTTCAAGTTCTTCTTCTGTGGTGTTTAAAGGAGACACGATGCGGAGCTGCAGTCTGTGGGCTCTTCTACCTCCTGTCTACTCTGTATTCACTGCTGCTGGTCTGTGGGTGGTGTAAGTTATGTAAATTATTATTATAGGACTAACTTTAAATATCAGTTTGACACCAGCCTTTCAGAAATGATAATCATTTAATAAAATTGTACCCACATCTCAAGCTTTCTTTGACAGTTTGCTGCGATATTTAGTACGTTGTTCTGTAGGATTCAGTATAATCTCAGTGCAGAGGAGTGTCAGTGTGGACGTGTTGTGGCAGGAAGCTTTGGACGGGAGTCAAACAGCTTCTCCTCTTCATTGTGAAATAAATAACGACATTAACATTCTATGACAGCAGCCCCAGAGAGTCCTGGTTAACCTCAAAATGTCACTGGAATAAACAACTACAAAGAGACCCACAAATACTACACTGAGACCCAAATGAGTAACATTTACTCCTACAAAAAGACACAAGCAACAACTAAAAGACAGAGAAATACTTCAAAGATACACAAGTAACTACAACTACTACCAAGGACACACAAAATGACTACAAAAAGGCGCAAAACAACTACAGGCCCACACAAAGACACTAATCTAGTGTCAAGAGTCACAAATCACAACTGCAAAGAGACAAAACGACTACAAAGAGACATAAAACGTCTTCAAAGCTTCATAACGACTACAAAGAGAAGCAAGGACTACAAAAAGATGCAAAAAACTACAGAAAGAGACCAAACATAGAGACACTAAATGACTACAAAGAGACTATTGTATATTATCTTTAATTTCATCTTTAATATTATATATATATTACATTCCCTCCTTTGTTCTGATGCATTTGAACAGATACTTTGTTGCTGTCAATGATGAGAAGATCGCACCGCTGGGTTCAAAATACAGGTAATAAATAAACAATATCATATATCGCAAATAATGACGTTTTGTCTATTCATCTTTGGATTAATCTTATTTTTTATTTATTTAGAAGAAATGAACTCCTTTACCCTCCCTACATCAGGTACACACTCATCATTTTCTTTTCACAATAAAAGCATAGTTTTACTTTATTTTGGAGCAGCAACTTAACATGTCTCCTCCGCCTTCAGTATTGCAGAAACTCTCCACCAGCCAGCTGCATCTTCAGCGAGGTCATGAACTTGTCTGCGTTTGTGGGTGAGAACGGTTATAACGCAGGTTTGTGCAAGTTCACTTCCACCAAATGTTCATAGATGTTTATTTCCCGTCTCTATCACAGGGTTCATCATCGCGCGCTCAGATTCCTTCAGCTGAGACGCAGAATGGACAAACAGTGGCTGAACGTCTGCAGTCTGGTGGCTTTCTCCATCGGCTGCTTCGGGATGACACTTCTAGGAAACTTCCAGGTAACGTGCACCGCCGACACACACACACACACACACACACACACACACACACACGTACTATTTATCAGAGTTAATTCATTGGTTTTGGTTTCAGCTTTTCAGCGAGGAGATGATCCACAACGTTGGCACCTTCATGACGTTTGGATTGGGAACGCTGTTCTGCTGGCTGCAGTCCTACATCACCCTGACAGTTAATCTGAGGAACTTTCGCCATCGAGTTTCGTCACAGCCGTTTTTACATCGTGTGCACAGACGACTCAGCACTCCCGTCAGAGAGCCTCTCCGACCCGTCCCGGTACCAACCGGACCAACTGTAGAGACGTCACACCGCCTCATGTTTAATTCACTTATTACATCTAGAGGAGCTGGTTTTATTACCTTTATTTACACCTGATCACTTCATGTTGCATGTTTACCCGTTATATATATGTGTTTTATCTACAAGCATCATTAGTAGTAGAAAAGTCTGCTGGGTTTGTTACTTTTTCTCTCGATGCAAAGGGTGTTTTATTCATTATTTTTAAACATTACAAACGTCCAAATTATCTTTGTATATTTTCAAATGTTTGAGTTTTTATGAATCTATCAGATGTTACGATTTAAAATGCAGATTTGCACAATTACAATCAGTATCAATAAATATTCAGGAAAATGTATTTAAGCCGTCTATAAATTTAGTATCTTTAAAGTTTTTGTATCCACTGAAGTAGGTTGCCTCATGAAAACGGTCTAGACTGATTATTATAGGGTGGATTATTCAGAGGGAGATAAAGAGATGAAGCCAATCCGTTGCTTAGTTTAGCATAAAGACTTTAAACGGGGGGGGGACAGCTAGCCTAGCTTCGCCCAAATGTAACAAAATCCACCTACCAACACCTAAAGCTCACTGATTAATTAACATATATTTACTGTACAGACAAACTTCTCATCCAACTCGTGGTACGAAAGCAAATAGTCTGGCTCAGTACCACTCGGGATGATTGAGAAAAGTTTTTAGGATTTGGACCCTTTAAAGGTTTTAGTCGAACATGAACATTTAGACTGAAGGAGAAAACAGGCTTCTGTGTGAGACAAGGCATTTATTGGAAGTTTTTATATCATGTCCTGAATAACACCAATTATGTTTCACACACACACAAATCATCAATTTGGCAATTTGTTCGGTTAACTTTCCAACACCAACATTACGAGGATGGCACATTTAAATAGACACCTGAACCTGCTGAGGAGGAGCTAGTTAAGACAAAGTATGAAATGAGAACTTCCTGTCAGCGGCACCACAGCCGAGTGCATCTAGTGCTACTTTCTAAAACATTACAACAGATAAACAGTCGACTCACTGGATAAAACTTCTCACATCTGCAATACGTGTGTGTGTGTGTGTGTGTGTGTGTGTGTGTGTGTGTGTGTGTGGAGGGAGAAAACAGCACATGGATGGTTTACAACAAATACAACACATACAGGTGGAACGTTTTAACATCGGAGAGCAACCAAAGACGGTTCATCTAAAAGGTAAAAAGGTAAAGTAACTTCACAGGTGTGCAGTTTACTTCAGGCTTTGTTTGTTTCATCTACAGCTTTATGTATCTGTTCTCTCCCAGTCGGTCGAATGGTCCAGTGAGGCTGACGACGCCCCGACGGGCCCGTCTGGTGGCTAACCGTTAGCCCCAGCTACACTTCTTCAACTGTCACAAGCAAAAACATGAAGACTGGCAATAAGGGAGGAGGGGAGGGGGGGAGGGGCAAAAAGAGGAGAAGGAACAGGTCGTTTGTGAGATGAAGTCAGAAGAGTCGTCCTCGTCTTCTTCAACGCTCGGTGTTAAACGCGTCCCGTCACCTCCAGCTGGCTGAAGGACGTGACGAGGTTATAGTGGGCCCGCTCGTCATCCGTCAGCTCCATGTTTCCAGGCCGGACCACCACCACCACGTTCACGCCGGCGTCTTCAGCGGCTTTAGCCTCTGCAACGACAAATATACACGAGTGAGTACATGGATCCCAATGTCCAATGCAGAAGACTGTCAAACACATCGCTGCAAACAGTCTCACCTCGAGCGACGTCGGTCAGGAACGTGAGTTCCTCGGGTTGACAGCCGATCCTCTCAGCGATCCTCTCGTAGCTTTTAGCTTCCACTTTAGCTCCTATGCTGGTGTCAAAGTGACCATCTAATAACTGAAGCATTTAAATATCATTAGCAACAACATACATATAATATTTACTGCATGATTTAAAAAAAAAAACATAAAAAAGACAAATGTTCCCGATAAGCCAGAAAACGTGATAAACAAAGATAATTATGTAAAATAATTGTCTCATGAATCAAATGTCAGTGTCTGTTTGTCTGGGAATATCTTGATCTCCTGACGAGTATTAGATACTGTACTTACATCTAAAACATCTCCTTCGACGGAGTATCCAAACAGAAGTTTCTGGGCCTCCACGCTTCCAGACGAGTAGATGAAGACTTTTAGTCCGTGAGCTCTCCACCGTCTGATGGACGGAGTCACATCCTGGTAGACCCTGTTTATGAACACATGAATGAGAAGATAAACATCATTTCATTACTTTTAGAATGCTCATTGAGCAGGTTTTATGTCCTAAAAGCATCTCAGAAATCTAAACCGTATTAGTTTGAGCCTCGTTTGTCATTTTCAGAATGGGTTATAAAGAAATTATATATTTCAGCCCTTTTTCTATTTGATTAAAAATATCAAAAAATATTAATAAATCAGTCTTTGAAATCTTTTGTCTTGTTAAAAGACAAACATAAAACACTTCATTTGAAATATTGTTTAAATGGGGCTCTGATCTCAAAGTCATTATTACGTTATAATATTTTTGTATTTATGCTAATTGCTACAGGGCTGTAACTTACAAATGTCTTTTTATGAATATTATTGGTTAATCTTATTTTCTTTATCTTCAAGTTACATGTTCTGTCAAAGTCCAGAACCACAAGATTACCAGTTTACTGTCACATAAGACAAAGAAAAGAAAGCAAATCCTCACATGCTGGAATAAATAATTTATAATTTTTCTCAATAATAATAAAAATTGTAAAAATCAATAAAAACCCTTTACTGATATCAAAACAGTTGCTTATCACCTAATCAATTAACTGCATCAGCTCTAATTGGCTAACAAATTACCATAATATGTATAAATTTAACTGGACTGTAGTATTACGACTGACGGTTGAATCCCGCCTGAGAATGGCGGACCCCGCCACTATTAATGAAAACTCCTATACAGCGACTTGAAGACCAATTCTGCGTTAAAATAAATACTCTTCAGGACTTCAAACCACTTCAGTCATTATGTTTTCCAGCTTTAATGTTAAATAAGACAGATGTTGTCCCGGTTGATGGACCGTTACATTCACTATTCATGTTCTCTTCCTGGAAACCTCGTCGAGTCATCACTCCAGTTTGAGCAGAGCAGAATTTTGAAGTGAGGAAAACGGATCAGTGTACTTACTCGCCTTTGATTCTCCCAGAAGAATAGGCCGCCCTCCACATGTGACCCTGGAGCTGTTTGAGTGCTGTGGACTTCCTGTCTGCTGCCATCTGCCACATTACGTTGTCCATCACCTCCCTGATGGCCTTCTCCTCGTCCGTGTGGACCGTCTGGTCCACGGTGTGAACCGGGCACGACCGGTTCTGTCTCATGTCCTCTTCGATCTGCAACCACGGTCAAATCAAATCCTCAGGAATCAGGAGGTTTTCACCAGCTAGTTTATCACTTTTATATTTAAAAATCTGGCTTTTTTAAAATTCATCTACAGTTGAATAATTCTCCGCTTCAAGTCAAAATAACTTCAGCAAAATGAAGGAAGTTCAGGAATTAAATGAAAGGTTTTTTTTTTGCAATCTTGCATCCTGACACTTTGTTGTAATTTTGGTTCTGTACTCCAGTGCATTAAATTAAAAATACAAGTTAAATTTAAGATTTTCAGCTCTAATTTAAGAGTTTTAACATCCGTCTCGTGTCACACACACAATATAAATTATCATCCTTTATACACCTAGTACCCAGTTTTAAAGGTAAACAAATGTAGTTTAACAAATACAAGTGTTTTTGGGGTTGCAAATGCTTTGAAATAGTATTATTGAAAAACATCTGTGCAAATCCCCAGAAATAAAATGTTACAGGAAGTATTTGAAATAAACAAACCATTATGTGACATTTGGAAAAATGTCAAATGTATATATGTTAGAATATTTATACACTATAGAGCTGAAACAATTAGTTAATCCACAGAAATAATCTGCAACTATTTTGCTAATCATTTAATAATTTGTCAATTTTTATTCAAGCAAAAATGCAGATATTCCGTGAATATTTGCTGTTCTTATCTTATATGATACCAAATCGATTTATCAAGAAAACAATAAACTGCTGGATAATAAAAGTAATCCATAGCTGCAGCTCTGTTACAATAACAGTCTTCTCCTCCTTCACTCTCTAAGCTGTTAGCAGGAAGAAATCAGCTCTTGATTTAATCTTGAGAGCTCGTCATCTCTTGACCTGTTTCTTCAGCAGATGAACATCTTGTTTGCACTCGTCTTCCTCCCAGTGATTAGAGAAGTACTCTTCCAGATGCTCCCTGATGTACGGAAATAAGATATCCTGAAAAACACAAAGTGGAGTCATTAGGTGGCTCCTTACAGAGAGAGAAATAAATTATTCAGATGCAACATATACTGGTTTGTATCCATTAAGAAAAAAATCAAGATGAATTATCTTTTCTATTTCATTTATTAATAATATAATATTTTTGTGCGTTTGGTGCATAATATTGTGACTGTGTATTTTGTGATCCATAAATGTTATGCTGCGTACATGTCAAATGGGATTAATGAACATCTGGATGGATCTACTTACAGCTGGTTGGTTGTGTGAAAATAGTTAAAATAAATACTGTCCAGTAACAATATGACATATCCTTTAAATCTGGGTTTAATTAATTATGTGATTCCCATACTCAAACTATTGTCCATCTGTTCTGGAATTATCTTGTATCTTATATAAAGACTAACAATAAAACAGCTATTAATACTATTAGACTGTCCTCCCAATTTAATGTTTTCTATTAACTCATGTTGACCCCTAGCATGTTTTATATTAACCGGTTAAAATAGTAATAAAAAAGTAATTTACAAGTTGGAAACTTGTAATTACGACAACTCCCATATGACCTGAACGCGGCATATGGTCTGTTTTTATCGTGCAGTGACTCAATATTATGACAATTATAGTTATATTTTAAACGAGTTTGTTGTGTAATTGGACTACAAAGGGGGTAATTAAGAAAAAGGAGCAAGAAAATATACAAGAATATGAAGAAAAATATGGTTAAAATGAGTCAAACACCGTCGAGCTAAAGCTGGTGACAGTCGTTAGCATCGCTGTTAGCATAGCCGCTGTAGAGGAGCTAAGCTACATAATTAGCTTACAATCCTGTTACATTAGTATGCTGGAAAAACAACAGCTCCGTCTAATACAACTCACCTTTACAAACGTGATTGGTGTTGTTGTTCCTTCGATATCCAGCAAGAGTGCACTGGTGCTAGCAGGAATTGAAACAGTGGCCATTTTTTATTTTTAGGAGAGTCTGCAGCTGGTTAGCTGACTTAGCTTAGCTTATAATTAGCAGCACCACCACAGTGTTAAAAGTAAGTAAGCGCTCCTCGCTGGTTCTCGAAATTGTTATATTATTATCCGAGCGCGAAGAGATGTAACGTTACCACCTGGTTAGCTGTTGTTAGCTGCTAGCTAGCTATGCTTTGCCATCACAGTCGCAGCTAACACACACACAGTACTGACTTGACTAAAAGAGAGGAGTGAGCACACATGTTCAAAAGCTGTCATGTCAGTTCAGGCAGCTACTCGGCGGGGTGGAGCTACTCAGCGTGCTTCTGTCGTAAATTACACGAAGAAGAAGCAAACGGAAATGGGCTGTGATGAAAAAAAGCGACGCTCAAGGAACTGGTTTAATATCCAGAATATAACTTTTTTTGTTTTTTTGTTTTTATATTTATAAATAAAATTATTATTGTGTTTAAATTACAACTGTCAAAAAGTCATGATGTTACACACTCCGGTACAGTAGGTGGCGGCATGCACCTTAAACGTTGGTTTGTCATCCGCCAATAAACTCAAAGAAGAAGAAGAAGAAGAAGCGACGATCACAAATCACCCATCAAACTGTAGCAACTGAAAGTCAATTTTACCTTTATGAAACATAATTTTGTCTAAATTTAGACTAATATTACAATTTAATTAGCTTAGGCAAACGAGTTAAATTGCTCTAAGAGTTATAACTGCCGATATATGACACCAAAATATTAGCTTAGCATTAGCAAGCCAACTAGCTTAGCTTCTGCAGACGACGTAAGCTAGCTTTGAGTTTATTGACAAAAACAAACAACAATGTCGGACGATTATGAATTCAGCGAGGATTCGACCATGATGCGAATGGAAGAGGACGGAGAGGCAACCAGCGATGACCCGATGATGTCTGCGCCCGGAGACTGTGGCCTGATGGGGGGCGAGGCCGAGGGGTCGAAAATAGACGCCAGTAAAAACGAGGAGGATGATGGGTACGGTTACGTTACACTCATCTTAGGGTTTAAAACTCATTTTACAGTTTAAATGATGAGGGGTACGGTGACGTTACACTCATCTAACAGTTTAAACTAGTCCCTCATCTAACAGTTTAAACTAGTCCCTCATCTAACAGTTTAAACTAGTCCCTCATCTTACAGTTTAAACTAG